GTGTGTACTTGTGGTCTTAGCTACTTGGGAGGCTGAGGCCAAGACTTCTAAGACTATTTGCTACTCTAAAGTTCTCTGATTTGGTGTTACGCCATTGGGTTCTTTATTTAGATGACCTGCTTTGCTTATTTAATAGAATTTTCTCCTTTTCAATCATAAAACTAAAATAAAATGCATATTTAGAATTTTAAATATGAAATTAGCATTTAAACTATTTTAAGAACTATAATATCATAGTAACAGTGGGCAAAAAAGAACTCACTTGTGAACTTGCTGTTCCATCTAACTTTTTTTTTTGGAGACAAGAGTCTTGCTCCGTCAGCAGGCACCAGGCTGGTGGAGTGCAGTAGCGCGATCTTGTCTCACTACAACCTCAACCTCCCAGGTTCAAGCAATTCTCCTGCCTCAGCCTCCCAAGTAGCTGGGACTACAGGCCCCCAGCACCACACTTGGCTAATTTTTTTATTTATCATAGAGACAGGGTTTCACCATGCTGGCCAGGATGGTCTAGAACTCCTTACCTCATGATCCTCCCCCGTTGGCCTCCCAAAGTGCTGGGATTACAGTCTTACGCCATCGTGTCCGGCCCTATCAAACTCTAATGTCCATTTTGTATTCTTTATGCTGCCATACTATTTTTATATGGTTGTGATTAATTATGCTTTTATAGACAAAGTTTCTGGCAGCAGTCTTCAAATACGTTTCATGCTTCAGATTACAGTTATTCTGAGTAAATGAAAATTTTAAATGTGTTTTATCTATACTTTGTTTTGGTAGCTAATATTCAAGAGAATCTTTTGAATTTATTTAAGGGGAATACTATGACATTAATCCTCTTGAGCCTCATCAGGTCAATGATATTGTATAATAAATGTCTCAATGCTTTGCTTGGATATTTGAGTCTTTGATACAGTTACTTGGATATTTGATATTTGGGGTCTTGTCTATAAGAAAAGAAAAACAATTAATACGTTGTTTTCCTAGTCATACTTCTTTCATCCACTATTGACCATTTGTTTTGTATTTATAATTTCATCTAAAATTTTAACCTTCATTGAAATTGTTAGATTAGACTATAAAACATATATTTCCTTAGTTTGCTTTTACATATTAAATTTGATAGAAATACAAAGATTTGCCCAAGCTAACAAAGAAGCTTCTTTCGCAGTAGAGCTGCTGTTTTATTTTGTGGTCCTTTTCTAACTATAATATATTATGTGCATAAGCTCCTGGTTATGTCTTTTGAAATTCATAGGCTTTTTCAAAGTTGGCTGGAAATCTTCTGGTATTACTCCTAAATCGTTTCACACATTTTCTTGCCTTCTCTTTAATTTAGACATTTATATTTACTAACAGTTGAACTGAATTTGTACTTTGTATTTTTAGGTTTTGATTTTTTTTTTTTTTTTTTTAAGACGGAGTTTCGCTGTTGTTACCCAGACTGGAGTGCAATGGCACGATCTCGGCTCACCGCAACCTCCGCCCTCTGGGTTCAAGCAATTCTCCTGCCTCAGCCTCCCGAGTAGCTGGGACTACAGGCGTGCACCACCATGCCCAGCTAATTTTTGTATTTTTAGTAGAGACGGTGTTTCACCTTGTTGACCAGGATGGTCTCAATCTCTTGACCTCATGATCCACCCACCTCGGCCTCCCAAAATGCTGGGATTACAGGCTTGAGCCACTGCGCCCGGCCCCTAGGTTTTGATTTTTAAAAATCAATTTGATTAAAAAAAAATACATATTTATATAAAATTAGGTTCCCAACTGTATGTACATCAAGTTTTAAAATCCTTAGGACCTAAATTTCAGGTTAGGGTAAAAATAGTTTTCTCTATCATCAATGTACCTTCAAAATTCAGGAAAACATACTCAATTATATATAACTGTTACTGTGTGTGTCAATCCTGTCTCCTTTTTCTTGGTGTTTATCTCATATTTCCATTAGATTTTGAGTTTCTTGCCTTCTAATACTTTCGTGATAAAATAAGTTCGAAGGTTGTTTCAAAAAGGAAAGTAACTTTTAGTTGATCTTCTGCCTTTCTCTTTATAAAACTTTTAAAAATAAAAATTGAAGAGGTTATTGGGTAAATACAAACTAGGTAACTTTTAAAACAACATGTTCTATACTAGCTTTGTTTATACTCCTTTTAAGAACTAATAGCTTAGTATTTGATGTAGATCATAAGTTTATTTTTTATTTAACTTTTTACTATGGAAATTTTTTTTTTTTTTTGGAGACAGGGTCCCACTGTGTTTCCCAGGCTGGCACGATCACAGTTCACTGTATGGTTGAACTCCTGGGTTCAGGTAATTCTCTAACCTCAGCCTCCCTACTAGCTGGGATTATAGTCTATGCCACCATACCCAGCTAATTTATTTTTATTTTTTTTATAGAGCCAAGGTTTCACTATGTTGCCGAGGCTGGTCTCAATCTTCTCAGCTCAAGTGATCCATCCTCCTTGGCCTCCCAAAGTGCTGGGATTACAGGCATGAGCCACTGTGCCTCGCCTTCTCATGGAAATTTTCAAGAGTAAACCAGAATACTCTCCACAATGCATTGATGGGTCTCTTAAGTTTCTTTTAATTTATATTTTTCCATCTTTTTTTCTTTAAACTTCGTGTCATGTATTTGGAAGAAACTGAGTTATTCTAAATTTGGTTGACTGCATACTTAAGGCATCGTTTAACGTATTTCTCTGATGGCTTGGTTAGATTTAGGTCTGATTTTCTTGTTGCATCACATCAGGATGCAGTAGAGTTGTCTCGCTTTTAGTAAGATTGATTAGGCTGTGTATATAGACCTAACAGAAGTGACCAAGTATGTCTACCAGAAAGCTCATGCAGGAGTGCTCATAGCAGCTTTATTTTCATAATTGCCAAATATTGGAAATAGCCAAATGTCCATCAGCAGTAGAATGGGTAAATAGGTTAATTGATAGATGCACCAGCATACATGTTTCTCACAGAAGTAACGTTGAGTGAAGAAAGTTAACACAGTAAAGAGCATACTGAATAATTTCAAATATAAGAAGTTCAAAATGAAAAATAACAACAAAGTTCAAAATGAGCAAAATTAATGTCATTTAAAAATAAGATAGACCAGTGAAATAATAGTACCTATTAAAAAAGTCTTTTGCCTGCCAAATGAGATGTCTCCATTGTTACATACTCAATTTCCATAGGTATGTGTATTTCTCTATCTTGTTCCATTTGTTAATTCACATGCCTGTATCACATTGTTTTAATTATAGAAATTTTATAAGATCTTTTAATCTCTGACAGGGTGCATTCTTTTAGCTGTTTTTGCTTGTCTGTTCCTTCAAATTAATTTTATAATCAGCTTTTCTTGAGGAAAAAATAAAATCTTAAAGGTGTTAGAATTGCATTAAATTAATTAGATTATTTTAGGGAAATCTGGTACTTTTATGATGCTGAAGCTTTCTTTTCAAGAATGTGGTTTCTCTTTCCTCTTGTTCACTTTGAGGAATGTTTTGTAGTTTTCTGTGTATAGATTTTTGTATTGTTGTTGAATTTAAGCCTATTTTGATTTTTGTTGTTGTAAATGAGATCTTCACCTCTATTTCTTTTTCTTTTTTTTTTTTGGCCGCCCCCATCCCCTTATTTCTTCTTATTGTTACGTTATGTATGTGAAGACCTGGTTTCTGTATGCTAATTTCATGTCCTATTTTACAAATTTTCTTATTGTTTGAGTAGTTATTTTCATGGATTCTTTTGAATTTTTCAGTTAAGTATATTATTTGCAAATAATAGATAGCAATAGTTCTTTGCTTCCACCCTACTCCCACCCAAGTTACTATGCTACTAATTGCTTTCTCTTTTCTAATTGCATTGACCATTGCCTACATAATGTTATATAGTAGAGGAGTCCTTGTTTTTCTAACCTTTAGTGGTAAAGCCTTTAGTGTTTCCCCATTAAAGAAAGACCTGGCTTAAAAAACAAACAACAACAAAAAAACCTGAGCTATATAGGCCTGGCACAGTGGCTCAGTGTCTGTAATCCCATCACTTTGGGAGGCCAAGGCAGAAGGATTGCTTGAGCCCAAGAGTTCAAGGTTACTTAGAACCATGATTATACCAAAGCTCTTAAGCCTGGGTGACAGAGTGAAACCCTGTCTCAAAAAAAAGAAAGATATATATGAGAAATATAATTTATATACCATAACGTTCACCCCTTGCAACTATACAATTCAGTGATTTTTTGTTTTTGTTTTTTTGAGACGGAGTCTTGTTCTGTTGCCCAGGCTGGAATGCAGTGGTGGGATCATGGCTTACTGCAATCTCCGCCTCCTGGGTTCAAGCATTTCTCTGCCTCAGCCTCCCAAGTAGCTGGGATAACAGGTACCCACCACTACGTCCAGCTATTTTTTATATTTTTAGTAAAGATGGGCTTTCACCATCTTGTCCAGGCTGGTCTTGAACTCCTGACCTTGTGATCCACCTGCCTTGGTCTCCCAAGTACTGGGATTACAAGTGTTAGCCACTGTGGCCACAGTGAGTTTTTTTTTTTTTTTTTTTTTAAGTAAATTTATATGGTGGGTTTTTTTTTTTTTTAAATTTATCGGGTTGTGTAGCCATCATCACAATCCAAATGTAGAACATTTTTGTTATTCCAGAAAGTTCCCTTGTGTTCTTTTACAGTGACTTTTATGTTGAGTGGTTTATGAGAGTATATTTGTGTATTTTTGTGTGTACGTACATATAAATATGTCTTATACCTGTGTGACTGTATTTATTATCATTTAATTAAGTATCTGTTTATTTCATTGCCTGTTTTTAATATAAATGAATAATGTTTGAAAGTTTTCTTTTTGATATATGTGGTTAAATCAGTAGGTTCAAGTTGTAGTCTGTGGGCATAGTGAAACAGAAAAACCTTGTTACAGTAAATATGGAACACTGTAGTAAAATTTATTTTCTCTGAGTAAAGGAAGATGGCATTTCATATTCTCAATCGTGTTATTCCATGTTGTTTGTTAAAGAAGATGGCATTCCCTGTGGATATGCTGGAAAATTGCAGCCATGAGGAACTGGAAAATTCTGCCGAAGATTACATGTCAGATTTAAGGTGTGGGGACCCTGAAAATCCAGAGTGTTTTTCTCTTCTCAATATTACGGTAAGGTGCTCTGCAGTGATTGTCATCAATCTTTTCAGTCCAATTTATACATGAAATAAATACCCGTTTAAAAAAACAAATTACTTTAAGTGTTATCCATTCATTTTTGTAATCTACAGAAATCTATTCAGTAAAATGGGTAAATATTGGTTGATCAGTTTTTAAATACACAAAAGTCCATAGGTTATTGCTGTTTTTCTTTATGTCTTTAAAATTATATGTGAGAACTTCATCAGTTTTGCTTAGAGTGTTTACCATATTTGAGCTACTTCAGATTTACTTTCGACTTGGAATTTGTGAATTTAGAAATTTTTTTTTAGTTAAAAAATCAGTAAAATTAAATTACAGATTTTTTTTTGTGCCATCAGTCTTCCTTTTTCTAAAAAAGTAACATCAAATTTTCTAGTTAGTAAATCATGATATTTTGTGATAGAAAGATCATTAGACTTGGAATTATTAGTTTCATTGTGAACTGTAGTGGACAAATTCCTTAACCTCTCTAGGCCTCGGAGTTTTCTTCTGGAAATGACTTAAAGAATTTTTTAAAGTCTTCCCCAGCACCAATATTTTTATAATTCTCTGAATTGTTATCTCTAAGTAGGGAATAAGTGTTGGATTAAATGAAGGCAAAAGAATGTTAAAGCATATTAATCACATGTGTCTTCCTGGAAAAATTAATTTACTTGACTGCTTTTTTTTTCTTTAATACTAGAAAATGGAGTATGTCTTCCTCAGTAGTCTAAATAACAGATGATAAATTATAGTTGTTTTTTAAATGACTTTATGGGCCATATTGTAGCTTTGGTTTTTATTCAGATATGTGGCTAGAACTTAGTAATATTTATTGAAACAGATTTTCGTATTTTCCCCAAGACAATACAATTATTCCAAAAGGAAAGTCTATCTGATTTACTCTTTTTTTTTAGAGACTAGAAATGTCTCCTATAAAATAAAGTTATATAATTAAAATTAATGTAGGAAAAGTTTACCACTTTGATGAAAGATTTTTTTTAATGTATTTTTTTTAACAGACTGCTCACTAATCTTTATTCATTTGTCATTTTAGATTCCTATTAGCCTGTCAAATGTAGGCTTTGTACCTCTTTATGGTGGAGATCAGACCCAGAAAATTCTTGCTCTCTTTGCACCTGAGGATTCACTGACAGGTCTCTTTTTGCTTAATTTTTATAAATTAAGGAGTTTTTCTCCAAACTGTTAGAAGTGTATTAAAAAGGTAGCTACATGAAGGAATTTGCTTTTTAAAAAATGTGTTTCAAATTGTAATTTTAGGAAAATGTACTTCGTAATTGCTTATGGTTAAATGTTTGTGGATGAATGTATTGGTCTGTTCCCACACTCTTATAAAGAACTTCTTGAGACTGGGTAATTTATAAAGAAAAGAGGTGTTTAATAGACTCACAGAGCCAGGCGTGGTGGCTCATGCCTGTAATCACAGTCTTTAGGAGGTTTAGGCAGGTGAATCACCTGAGGTCAGAAGTTTGACACCAGCCTGACAAACATGATGAAACCCTGTCTCTACTAAAAATACAAAATTAGCTGGGCATGGTAGTGCATGCCTGTAATCCCAGCTACTTGGGAGGCTGAGGCACGAAGATTGCTTGAACCCAGGAGGCGGAGGTTGTAGTGAGCCAAGATCACACCATTGCACTCCATCCTGGACAACAAGAGTGAAACTCCATCTCCAAAAAAAAAAACACAAATAAAAAATTGACTCACAGTTCTGCATGTTTGGGGAGGCCACAGGAAACTTACAATCATGGCAGAAGGGGAGGGAGGCATGTCTTAACATGGTGGCAGGCAAGAGAGAGTATGTGTGCATGTGTGAAGGAGGAACAGTCAAACACGATAAAACCTTAGATCTCATGAGAATTCCCTCGAAAATGGCATTGGAGAACCCCCTGCCATGATCCAATCACCTCCCACTGGGTCCCTCCCTTGACATGGAGGAATTATGGGGATTATGATTCTAGGTGAGATTTGGGTGGGGACACAGCCAAAGCATATCAGTGAAATAAAATAAAAATGGTATAAATGAGGCTACAAAGTACAATATTACTATTTGGTAAAGGTTTATATAGATACTCTGAAATATAATATATATAGATACTTTATAATATAATGTGGCCTTATTAAATCTAAAAGTGTACTGTAAAACTTAAGTGTTAATGATTATTTATTCTGTTTTAGCTGTTGCACTTTACCTTGCTGATCAGTGGTGGGCTATTGATGATATTGTGAAAACATCTGTTCCTTCAAGAGAGGGGCTTAAGCAGGTAACAAGATCCTCTAATTTTGAGTGTTTCTTTTAGGCCATTTCACAGTGTTTCCTATAAATAGTGATAGATTTTGAAGCCATAGACCTCTTCCCCATTTAAAAATAATCAGGTTATATTAAACCCTAGAGTTTAATTCTTATGATGAAGCCAGTGTTCATGTTGGGCTTCATCTATTTTTATGTGATTCTAAAAGTATCTGAGATTGAGTGAGGAAGAATGAATACCTATGGGTTAGTTGAGCTTTGGCTACCTTTTTCCACTTAGCTTCTCATTTTCTTATTTGGTAGAGGAAAAGGTAGTTTGCTTAGTGTGATTGCTCAGCTTCTGTCTCTAGGAGAGACTGACCAGGAAACTTGTTTATTAGTAGGGCCTCCTCAGGTGATCTATACAGTGTTCCTAACAGTGGAATGACCAGGTTCAGGAGATAGCAAGCTTCCAGCCTCTGCAGGGTTATGGTAGAAGCCAGCCAACTGAAGAGTGTTGCCAGAAGGAAGCTGGTTTTCATGCTAGAGATGAAAGGGTTTAAGAGGGATCTCTGGTGCTCTAGTTATTGGAGGATAAAAAGGATAAGATGTAGAAAATCCATAGGAACCAAGATATAACATTCTTGAGGAGTCAGGGCATAATAAAAAATGGTGAGATCTTCGGTGACTGGAAGAGTGAGATTTGCAATAATATTGGAGAAATATGAAGCTGACTTGGTAGAAGTGCAATCGACTTTGCTTACTTAACAAGAATACTGAGTTTTTGGAGGAGCAGTACTATTCATTAACTAAGTGTAGTGTTCCTTGTTAATTGATCCTAAAATGAAGAGATGAGAACCTTGCTGAAGCAAATGAATTTTTTTTTTTTTTTTTTGAGATGGAGTCTTGCTCTGTTGCCTAGGCTGGAGTGCAGTGGCATGATCTCGGCTCTTTGCAACCTCTGCCTCGCAAGTTCAAGTGATCCTGCCTCGGCCCCTCTAGTAGCTGGGATTACAGGCACGCGCCACCATGCCTGGCTAATTTTGTATTTTTTAATAGAGACGGGGTTTCAGCTAATTTTTGTATTTTTAGTAAAGATGGGGTTTTGCCATGTTGACCGGGCTGGTCTCGAACTCGAGGTGATCCACCTGCCTTGGCTTCCCAAAGTGCTGGGATTACAGGTGTAAGCCACCGTGCCTGGCCAAACTTTCTTTTTTGGAGATGGCGTTTCACTCTTGTTGCCCAGGCTGGAGTGCAATGGTGCGATCTTGGTTCACCGCACCCTCCGCCTTCTGAGTTCAAGCAATTCTGCTGCCTTAGCCTCCTGAGTAGCATATGCTACCATGCCTGGCTAATTTTGTATGCTTAGTAGAGACAGGGTTTCTCCATGTTGGTCAGGCTGGTCTGGAACTCCTGACCTCAGGTGATCCTCCAGCCTCAGCCTCCGAAGTGTTGGGATTACAGGTGTGAAACACTGAGCCCGGCCAACAGTAGAATGAATTTAACAGAAATACATATGTATCTTAGTATTCTTCCTTTTGAATGCTTCTTGGATAGGCCAAGTCTGAAAAAAATTTTCAGTAGCAAGGTGTCAGCTACTGTTCATTTTTTTTGTGGGCAATTGAACCAGTCAGAAGAAACAAGGAAAGCATATCAAGAAACTTTGATCCCTTGTCCAATTAACAGAAAAGCAAAACTTAGGGGCAGCAGCAGCAGGAAAGAAAGTTTGAAATCCAGGATAGGAAAGTGAGGAAGTTGCAGGCTAATAGGGTGTTTTTATTTCTTCCCTTTGAGTTGGGAACTTTAAAAGAGATGGGAGGATATGAGAATACACTTAGTATTGTTAAGTATTAGTAACTTTTGGATATTGCATTAATTCTTCAATGTGCCTTAAGATTCCCAGAGTGATAGGCCTATTTGCTGAAGGCTAGGAGAATGTGTACATCTGGTTTTCAGCCAGTCTGATAAGAAACTTTGAACAAAAACTGAAGGGAGGGGGGAATTAAATCCCTATATAAAGCTGTAACATTGGAAGAGTAGATAGCAATAAAGAAGCATAACTTGTTCTCAGGAACAGTTCTGATAGTGAAAGGAAGTATGTACATTAAGAAAATAAACATTCCGATGTGTTTTAACATGACAGAGGTTTGGCACATGATAGGTATATAGGCTAAAGGATGGAGAAGGGAAAATCTTACTATGATGGTATATTGTAGCTTTTCCTATTCAAGTGAAGAAACTATGAAACCTCCATATATGGCTTGGGAAAAGAGGAGGAGTTACAACCAAAAATAAGACCATAACTGTTTGGACTCTTCAGCCTTAGTTACCTTAGGGACAACATTCCCTCTTTTTTTTTTTTTTTTTTTGTTGACACAATCTCACTGTCGCCCAGGCTGGAGTGCAATGACATGATCTCAGCTCACTGCAATCTCCACTCCTGGGTTCAAGTGATTCTCCTGCCTCAGCCTCCCGAGTAGCTAGGACTATGGGTGTGTGCCACCTTGCCCAGCTAATTTTTGTATTTTTAGTAGAGACAGGGTTTCACCATGTTGGCCAGGCTGGTCTCGAACTCCTGATTTCAAATGATCCACCTGTCTTGGCCTCCCACAATGCTGGGATTACAGGTGTGAGCCACCATGCCTGGCCTACATTCCCTCTTAATTTGAGAAATCAGTGAAGGGGGACTGTTATTCCAGTCAAATCCTGGCTGATAAGAAAAAATTACTTGGTAAAGTTACAGGAGGGAGTAACCATTTTTGTACTTAACAAACACATGACTCTGAGCAAGTGACTTTATTTTTATAAACCTCTCTGTACCTGGAACCTGATGCTCAATTATATGGAAGGGAGGCCCTCAAGAACACGCTGCAAAACTGTCCTTCTGTGTCCTTTATTTTGTCAATGACTTAGGGGAAGACATAGATGGGATACTTATCAATTCTGCATGTCACAGTGCTGAATGGAGGAGCTAATCTGTGAAGGGCAGAATTAAGAAACAAACAGAAAGCTCTAACATAATAAATAAGGAGAAATGTAATACCTATAGGTTCAAAAAATTAACTATACACCATGAACACCGAACTGAAACAACAGTACATATGAAAAAGTATTAGGCTTTAGTTAATTCACAGGAAAATCCAGATAAGCAAAAAAGCTAATACAAACTTTAAGTTTATATAAAAAAGCCCCGTTTTCTCAGCAGTACCTTCAAAATATCTTCATGATGTCCATATCCCAAACATAAAGAGAGATGTTATGAATCTGGAGCAGTTTCAAGAGAGAGAACTAAAATGACAAGAGTACCCCAAATTATGTTAGATTAGCGTTTTCCTTTATTTATTACCATTTTTAACTTTGGTTTGAAATTTAGGGAAACATCATGGCTGTCTTTTTATAGGCTGTGTGGCTGCAGAATATCAAAATACAGTCTTTGAGAAGTAGGTTTCAGCTCTGAATAAGGAAGAATTGTTAGAACCATGCAAGGAAGGAATGGGTTGCTTTGGAAGCTATTGCTAGTCAGCTGTTATTTCCTGTGTTTGGTATATGAGATCCCCTGCCAGGGGTATTTTTGAGATTAGTGTATATATATGATCAATCTTTTCTCTATCTACTAAACTAATTAGAGGCTGAACTTGTTTTCCTTTAAGAGATGTGGGAGAAAATAGGCTTATGTACAGATTTTTTTTTTTTTTTTTTTTTTGAGACACAGTCTCACTCTGTCACCCAGGCTGGAGTATAGTGGTGCAATCACAGCTCACTGCGGCCTCGCCCTCTTGAGCTCAAGTGATCCTCCTGCTTGAGCCTCCCAAGTAGCTGGGACTACAGGTGTGCATGGCCACACCTGGCTAATTTTTGTATTTTGTGTAGAAATGGGGTTTCACCATGTTGCCCAGGCTGGTCTCAAACTCCTGAGCTCAAGCAATTCACCCACCTTGGCCTCCTAAAGTGCTGGGATTATAGGCATGAGCCACCTCACCTGGCCTGTGTATGACAAAAACCTCACCATTTGATATCAGAACGTTTTGAGTGTTGGTGGTGTCCCTGTGACCATGTAGCCTTGTGTGTAGGAAGTGAGGCTCTGTTTCTCTTCTATTATTGCCCCAAGTGTGTTTTTATTAGACTTCTTTGGTGTCCCTGTCTTTGTCAACAGCGAAGATAGGACTGTTAAATGAACATTTTACCAGGAAAAGATGAGACATATTTCTTTCCCAAGAACATAATTATGGCTTCCCTCACTAAATGATGTAATTGTTCTTAAAGTGTTAAGGGGATAACACTAAGTTTTTTTTTTTCCTTTTTTTTATAATATGGAGACTGAAAAACAGTTGAAGTAGTTTACTATAGTGAAGGCTGTGATTAGGGTTGGTGAGACCCTGGATCTGGGCAGCTGGAAGCAGGAAGAAGATGGCAAGTGTTGAAAGAGATGCTGGGAATTGGTACATTGGGAACCTGTTTTGCCCGGTTTAGAATTTTGTTGAAAGGCAGTATTCTATGCATGTTATGTGTCTGTGGAAATGGATTGTAATCTGTGTGAATGATTAGTCTCATCTCTGTGGTAATAAAATGTTTCGCAAATTGTTTTAAATGTATTTGAAGTGCTTTGAATGCCAGGATGAGGTATGGGAGCAGGGAACAAGGTAAATAGCATCTTCTGATTGACATATATTATAACTGCTGTGCCTGGTGTTTGACTCTCTTTGTAGGTGAGCACTCTTGGGGAGAGAGTGGTTCTGTATGTTCTGAATCGAATTATTTATAGAAAACAGGAAATGGAGAGAAATGAGATCCCATTCCTGTGTCATAGCAGTACTGATTACGCTAAGATTCTGTGGAAGAAAGGAGAGGCCATTGGGTTTTATTCAGTTAAGCCTACAGGTGAGTCTTTAAAAGTTATTTAAACTATGTATTATGGAAATCTCCATTTTAGACCCCTCCAACTATATCAATATCTCTGTTAAATTAATCTCTAGCATGTGAATTGAGGTGATTTTCTTAGTATTTCTTGCAGTACTTTGATTCTACTATCCTATGAAAGTGAGGATTGTTGGAAAAGTGTTTTGAAAAAACTAAATAAACATTTGATCCAGAAGATTTCTCCACATGTGTGGAGACATGGTTGTACATTGGCCCTCATATTTGTCTGTCTTCTTGCCCTTACATTTCCAAAAGTTGTTGTTTACCTTGATTCCCATTGCTCTTATTATTACAGGCTCCTTCTAAAATCCCAGTCTGCCTGTGGCCCAAACACATAACCTGTTTCTGCATAGCACACCTTCTTCAACCTGACATATGAAAGTGCAATGTGGCTAAATACCAAGAAAAACAAAATGCTTTAATATATTTAGTAAATGCAATCAGCTTTGAAATTGTTACTCAAAGTTTGTGTTTCTGATCCTAAGAGCCAACTATACCCTATCCTTAAAAAATGCAACTTCATACCTGCTTTACCTGTCGTTCCATTCATTCAGCTCCCTAGAGCTGCTGGAGCCAGGAAGCTCTAAGCTACTTACTTGTGTGCACATACAATCCACACCTTGTTACCACCAAAGAACAAAGTCTGTCTTGTTCTGCACCTTGACCAAAAGACCTTTCACAGAGAATACCCTTAGTTTCTTTTTAATTTCCATTTCAGATTTTCCAAACTTAGCTCTCCTGGTCACATCCAGTTTAAAGATCCTGTCAGTTTCACTGCCGGTTTGATCAACAGTTGTGACTGATACCTTGAGCCTATAATTAGTACACATTTGTGATGAGAATTAGTGCATATAGTTAATAAAAGGAAGGTCATTTTTTCCTAAGAATAAAAAACTGATGTGCAATTTAAAATGTTTTTTCTTGAGGTAAATACTTTGGGTGCCTTTTGTTGTCTACTTTGTTCTTGTATAAATTTGAGATAGAACCAGTAATTTTTGTAACTTTAGAAAAATATTGATTATACATGGGGAGAAAGAGTGTTCAATGGAAGTCTAGTGTGCATTGCAGAAGAGCATCACTTTATTGTTTTTAAATGTTTTTATGTTTGAAGTTGGGCTGTGAATTAATTGCTTTATGCTTTATTTTATATAAGACAATTCCTGTGGGAATTTGAGGCTTTTTGCTTCTAATACTGGCTCCAGAGGAGTTTCCTACCTGAAACTAGCTCATAGACATTTGGAGCACAATTAGTTCATACTTTTTTATTGAGGGCTTCTTTCTATGAAAGACACTCAAGTAAAGGGTGCAGCCAGTATTTAACTGCAGGAGTGTGTTCTTCTTCTTATGCATGTTGAGTCTCCTTCTTCTCTGGCACCTGGCCTCTATTTCTGCTTGTTCTGGGAGTTAACTATTTATAGCCTCTAGTTTCCAGGTGCTTCTGTGTCTGTCACTTTTTGCACCTTCCACATTTCTCTAATTGTCTTACATTTTTACTATTTATTTTAGTTGTTTTCCCTTGTAAGCTCTTTCATCTACCAGGTAACAATGTGGAATTAGGTGTGCTTATACTAGCCTTTGAGTCAGTAGCCATTTAATTCAGGCTAGAAGTGTTTTTTCTCCAAAGGAAGCCTAAACATAATTTAAATACTTCAGAGAAATTGTCCAGAACAAATACTAAACACTTGGTGATAAAAGTATTTCTGATGTGTGTGTGTATACACTTTTTATGTGTAAGTATAAAAGTATATAAAGTATATAAGTATGTAAACATATATAAAGCATGTATTTATATAAACATTTCATGTATATATACTGATAATATATAATACTTTTTCCTACACCAGTAGCAAAAAGATAAAATATTAAGATTTGTAGTTGAAGGAAGTCTTGTGAAATCATTGTTTATAATTTTAAAATTAAAGAGCAAATCAGTTTATGGGGCTCTTAGGATATAGAATAGCCTTGATAGAAAAGGAGACTATTTATGAGATCAAATTCTAGTACAGTACAATGAAATTCAAATAACTACATAAATTCTTTTCTGCCTGAAATAAAGACGTCACTGTGAGAGACTTATAGTTTGTTTTTTTTGGTTAGGTAGATAGTTTTGTTATAAAGATATTTGGTTTCCTCATTTGTTTTTTCTACTGTTTTATTGATTCATTGATTGATTGAGACAGAGTCTTGCTCTGTTGTCAGGTGCTAGGCTGGAGTGCAGTGGTGTGATCTCGGCTCACCGCACCCTCTGCTTCCCTGGTTCAAGCAGTTCTCCTGCCTCAGCCTCCAGAGTAGCTGGGGCTACAGGCGTGTGCCACCACACCCAGCTAATTTTTGTATTTCAGTAGAGACAGGGTTTCACTATGTTGGCAAGGATGGTCTCCATCTCTTGACCTTGTGATCCATCCGCCTTTGCCTCCCAAAGTGCCGGGATTACAGGTGTGAGCCACTGCGCCTGTCCCATTTTCTACTGTTATTTTAATTTAATGAGCTCATTATTCCTTTAAGGTATTTTTCATTTTTTCTCATTATTTATATGATCTTTTATACTTTCAAACAATTCTCCAAAAGCACCAAATATTTCAAACTAGTCTTTCAAATGAAGTAAAAAAAAAATTTCAAGCAAATTAGTGTTTATTTTGCAGTTGAAGGAAAGATTCAGAAAATAGTGGCTTGTGATTCCTAAATTTATCTTAATTTATTGGTAAATTAAGTTTTTACTTTGATCAGCAGTTGTTTACTTAATATAATTGATTCTTTCATCAGATATTTTTGAAAAAGAACGTAGAGTGAGATTGAAGGTATTGTCACTGCTTTCACGTCATGGGTAATTCCTGAGATCTGTTCGTTTCTCATAATGTTTTTGGTTATGATGGTTGGTTCAAATCTGTGCTTAAGCTCTAGAGAGGATGGAGAACAAAGAGAAGCAAAATGATTTACAACTTAACATAAACCACACTTGTCACAAGTCCAGGAAAGTGAAACGATTCATAAGAAATTTGAAAATATACAGGTTGAATATCTCTAATCTGGAAATTTGAAATCCAGAATGCTACAAAATTGGAAACATTTTGAGTGCCAACCAGACCCTCAAAGGAAATGCTTGTTGGCGCATTTCAGATTTTGGATGTTTGGATTAGGGTCGCCCAGCCAGTAAGGAAAATGCAGATACTCCGAAGTCACCTCAAAATCTGAAATCCAATCACTTCTGGGTCTCAGCATTTTGGGTAAGGTTTTTTCAATCTATACCTTAGTTACTCTCTATTCTTTTTCATTTGCATACATCAAGACTGCTGATGAGTTTGAGCTTGAAGAAATTATTAATGAAATAATTGGAACAGCTTATTCAGACAAGTCAACCTATAGAAACTTCTCTATTTAGTCTACTGTACAACTCAGAAATTATCTTAAAACAAAATCAATATTAGTATCAAAGATTTTGGGTTTTCTTACAGTATTGCCATTAACTTCTAAGTTGTGCTTCTTAAAACTATCGTTTATTAAATAATAATTTTAGAAATAATAGTATTTTAGAGCCTGTATATTGCCATTGTGGTGAGTGGTATAGTTATTTCTAGATGTGAATTTCTAGATGTTTCACATTGTAACATCATTGATATTTTTGCTATAATATTTTTGTCAGTCTGTTCTTTTAGTCAACTTATTAAGCATAACTCCAATTTACATTTGTTAATAGTATACTTTGTAAGTTACAATTCTAAATATTTGAAAGTCATCTATTTACAATGAAAGTTGTGCCTACAGAGCAACCAGGAATTTAGTTCAGAATTATCTAGAACCTGTAAAAACTGATTAAGGGCTGGGCGTGGTGGCTCACGCTTGTAATCCTAGCACTTTGGGAGGCTGAGATGGGTGGATCACCTGAGATCAGGAGTTCTGGTCCAATCTGGCCAACATGGCAAAACCCATCTCTACTAAAAAAAAATATAAAAATTAGTTGGGCATGGTGGCATGTACCTGCAGTCCTAGCTACTCAGGAAGCTGAGGCAGGAGAATCACTTGAACCTCAGAGGCAGAGGTTGCAGTGAGCTGAGATCACGCGTCTGTACTCCAGCCTAGGTGATGCCATCTCAAAAAAAAAAGGAAAAAAAGGAAAAGAAAAAAAAGAATAAGAATTAAAATAGTTTCTGAGAACAGAGGCCATTTCTGAAGTTATAAAAACCTATATCCTTATATACACTGTTAGCCTTCTTAGAATTCAGAAGGGAAAATAGTGTATCTTTCCTTTAAATACTGGTGGCACCATTTGAGGGGAAACTTAGGAAAATAAATGCATACAAATGGAAAATAAGAAATACAAGAGATAAAGATAATTGCTTGTAGAATTTTTGGATTTTTTGGCTTTCCTTTCTGAAATATATTAGGAAACTACCTAGCATATCATTTGCTACTTTAATTCCTTTATTGTAAGAATTATTACAAATTTTTAACAAGTTATGGTTTGAGAGATAAGAATTGAGTGATTTCATTTCTCTTTTGTTACATTAACCAGCTCTTTCTCATTGTATTTCAGTATTTGATAAGTAAAGTGTAATATATCTCAAGGATATAATATGTCATTTTGTTTTCTGTCAATTATGGGGCTCACAAATAGAATATAATTTGTTTTTTAGACAAACTGCTTTTGGGTAGCAGTTTACCTTGGAAAGATGTCTGACAATATCTCTTATTTTTTTTTTGAGAGAGATAAGCATATTAGTTAACATCTTCCAAGTTTTACCTATTATAGTAGAATATCCTGTTAAGAAGAGACACCTGTTCCCTACCCCCAAATCTCAAGAAAAAATTGTTTGCAGGTAGAGTTATAAAACTACATTCTCTGCATTTCAAATCAAATTCTATTATTGTTGAAAAAAATACATATAGACTAACTTAAGCTTTTATCCTGGTTATCTTTTTGTTTTTAATTTTTATGAATACATAATAGTTGTACATATTTTGGG